GCTGTCTTTTAGTGATCATAGGGAACCATTTTTTGCTCTCCATCGACATGGTTGAGGCTAAACTCCAGGAGAACAGCCCATTGCGCTTTCTTGGTCTCACGTTTTTCATCGACATGAAGTGGAATGATTATATTGAATCAATTGCTAGATCTGCTACTAGGAAAGTTGGTTTATTTTGTTGTGAACTTAGCGAGAGTGAAAGAAGATGAGAAAACAGTAGTGATGGGAGGGGATAAAAGAAGATGTATTAAGAAGGATTAAGAAGACTGAGGATAACGATTGGCATTGCATTTTATTTTTTGATGATCAAAGTTGGCTGCAAAGCAAAAGGCCAAAAGAAGGGCGAGAGAAGAAACTTAGCATAGAACTTACAGCTACATTTAGCCATTTCGGCTGTAGAATGATGAATCAAAAGAAGATCGGACCACAAGACTTGTTTTTGTAGAAAGGATCGATAAAACACAGATAGTAAACGAGAATACAATGTTTTGATTAAATGTTGGTCGAATTAAAAGAAGCTCGAATTAAACTATACTTTTAAGATAACTCAATTCTTTTATTTCGCCAGTTGTATTGAAATATTTGACACAGAACCGAAAAAGAAGTAGATATGTTGAGTAAAATCAAATCAAATAAGAAAGAAAAAAAAGCCAAAACAAAATGGCGGGACAGAGGAATTCGGAAATCAAACCTATGACCTTTATTTCGCGGTTCATTAATCTGACACGAAGCTCTCACAAACCTCGAGAAACAAAGTCAACGATCGGGTTAATTGTTAATTTTGGTTCCCGATTGTTCTGAGCAGACCTTCCCTGAATAGCATCAGGTGACATGCTTGGATTTTAAACGCCAAATCTAATTTGCATCCATAAATTTTGGAGGATTGTGATTTTTAATTTAGACATTCGATCGATAATATTATTTGATTAATATTAATGGCAAATCTTATTAAAGTAAGAAGAATGTAGATAGATAGATATAAACATTGATATATATATATATATATATATATATATATATATATATATATATATATATATATATATATGTGTATGAATAAAGACAAAAAACTTATCTTAGTCGAGGCGCATTGTCATCTGAGGGACTTTATGAAGGCAAATGATAATGATTCGCTTTGATAAAGAGAAATGTGATAGATAGGAATAAACTTAGATATTGGCATACTAAAAGACTGGGTTCGCAAGGTGAATACAGAGATAGATAGATAGATAGATAGATAGATAGATAGATAGATAGATAGATATACATAGAGACAGATGGACAGATAAACAGATAGATAAATAGATGGAAACATATATAGATATGGACATGTAATATGTAATGAGATAGTTATATCGACACATATGAACAGAACGAGGAAGATAAGTAGAAAGATATAAAAACCGACACGGATAGATAGATAGATAGATAGATAGATAGATAGATAGATAGATAGATAGATAGATGTGCAAAGATTGATATGAACAGAATGTAATTACTGACAGACATACAGATAGATGGATAGAAACACTGAGATAAATAGATACGAACTAGCATAGATAGATAGATATTAAACATAATGAGATAAATATGAACAGAGACAAAATATATATATATATATATATATATATATATATATATATATATATATATAAAGAGAGAGAGTCTGTGTGTAGAGAGAGAAAGAGAGAAATTGTATGACAAGCATTTGATGTTCTTGAGAGATTGACCCGAATTATAATACGATAACCAAGGATGGAGGTGGCGGCGGCGGCATCGAGAGATTTGGCATGGCAGACGGAAGTTGAATTGAAGAAAGATGACATTTGACCTGTCGGAGATTCTAAAGGAAGGCCAAAATAGAGTCATTATTTATTTTTATGAATTAGCAAAAATGAACAAAATAAAAAGCAATAACCCAAAGAAACTGAACGACATCAAAGCCGATACAGACAGGATTCAATAAAAGAGCAAAGACAAAGAGAAAAACGTCAGTCATATAAACGCACGTAGTATATTAGTTAAAAAACAAAAAAAAAAAAAAAAAAAAACAGCATAAAGTATACATGATCGGTTAGGAACAGTGATCTATTTGTAACTGTGCAAATAACTTGGATCGGAACTATCAGATCCACTGTTTTAATTCTGTTTATTCTTGCCACCTCTTTGTTGAGTACCGGAGTATAACCTCACCGAGTGACGTTGATGCTTTTTCAGTAACAAGAAGCAAACTCATGTTAGAAGGAAAAAACAAAAACTACCTTAGGACCCGATAATCTTTATCAGCCTTCTTATTGAAATAGCCATTACGACAACCAAATAGTTGTTATTGGAGATTAAACTTAATGCGTGTACTTTTTGATTCATAACATATGAAATCCAAATATATCTGCAGTTTGCATTCGTATTTATTTGTGTCATAACGTGTGTCATAACTTATTTGTGTCGTAACTTGTGTCATAACTTATTTGTGTCGTAACTTGTGTCATAACTTATTTGTGTCATAACTATCCATTTCTTTGTCAGATGTTAACGGATATCTTATTTTCATCTAGCCGTTCTCTTTTTTATTCAACATTTCTTTATATTTTTGAGATGAAGTATTGTAACTATTTACATTAGTCGGATTGTTGTCCTCATCTTTATTGCCATATCCCCAACGTTTCAGACGTTGTACGCTCCGGTCTTCATCAAACCGAACCATTTATTTAGTCCACGTGGGTAGATTATTCTAATTCCACGATATCTAATGATATCTAAATTTTAGTTATTTCCCCTTTATAACTCCACAATCCAAATTTTTTGTTCCCTTTATGTCCAGGTATTGAGTCAAGGCACTTTTGGATCAATTAATCTACGCTTTTATCCAATGGGCCATGTGTCCTTGGGGACAATGTTGAGCGAAATTTTGGGACTGATAAATCTAATGTCTCAGGAATCATTTTTTTACCAGGGCTCATATTACAATTTCTGTTATTGTTGTTTTTTCTCTAGCACTCTGTATTACTGGTTCCCATATTCTATTATGAAATTTTTGTGGCTTAGCATATGCGCTGATTCTTTGTGTTTTTGTATTTTTCCGGTAATGTTCTCTGTCTATTATTTCAACTTCATCCCACATATAGGGCGGTGATCTCTCTTTTCCCGTCATATATGGCCATCCATAAATGAATTTTCTATTTCTCCCTGTGTTACGGCTTTACGGGGTTCTTACAGTCTTACCTTAAGGAGGGATTCCTGATTCTCCTTTATATTTCTTGCTACAGCGTGCCGAGTGGTTAGGACATTCGCATTCTGCACCGGGTTCGAATCTCACCATGGTCGATTTGTCAAGGAGGAGACTTTCTGATGTTATCGGACTGGAGGGGTCGAGCCCAACGTGCTGCACTTTTGGAATGTGTCTGAAAATCATACTATGGGTTGATCCAAGCCTTGTGAGTGAAATTGGGTATGGGGGCCGTCGATAGCTGTGCTAGCACGAAGTCACAAATCATCGTGGTTGAGGGGTTGAGCGTGCTGGCCTTGTTCAAAATGTTGATCACGCTAGATAACACGCTCTTTGCCAGAAAATGTAATGAAGGTCTGCTGAGCATAGTTTCACTATAAACCACAGGTGGGCTGTGTGGGTGTTGAATAAACACAAATGCGCCTGAGCAAGCATCTGCAATAGGGATTGCCTAGCCGCCCTAGTAGACGGGTATCCTTGATTATGAGTAGTCAGATATATATACATATATACCGTTGCATGGGATGGCGTACAATCAGTCCTTAATCATATTCTCCTCTATGGATGGTCTTACTTGGAAAAGATGTCTGCGTAGTGTTGAGTCATTCCTAATGGTTGTCTTAATGTTATATGGACCACAGACCTTTTGTATTTGTGGCCAGGTTTTGAACTCACAACTCTTTGGGTCAAGTCACTTTTGGATCAATCTACCAACGTTTTTTACCAGAGCTCATATTACAGTTTCTGTTATTGTTGTTTTTCTCTAGCTCTTTGTGTTACTGGCTTCCATAGTGTATTCATGTCTATGCTTGACCGGCTCAGGAGATTCTTGTGGCCTCGTATATGTGCTGATTCCTTAAGTTTTCGTATATTCCACTATTATTTCAACTTGACCCAAAAGAGTTGTGAATTCAAACTCTTGTCATAGCAGGGGGAACAGAAAACGGAGAGCTGAGTTATCAAGGGGAATTAACTGAAACTGAGACACTTAAAGGTATGGCACGTAGAATTAGAACAAGCTACCCCCGTGGGTAAAAGGGTTAGGTTCGAAATTCCATGAAATATCACCGGAAGATGTCCAAAGCGTACAACGGCCGAAACGTTGTGAATATGGCAATAAAGATGAGGACAATAGTCTGAACAATGTAAATAGTCTTAATATTTTTTTTCTTTGATTAACAGATATATATTCTTTGAAATGAATTTTTCTTTGCCAAAAAGTTTGAGGCAGTCAAGGCCATTTTGTAGCCATGTCAAAATAGTTGGGAACACCCTCAATCGAAGGATGTATGAGTAGATTAGGCTATCCGGACTTAAGGTATTTCTAACTTGGTCCACTTACAAGTTTAGGATCTGTTTTTATAAATGCCTGTTGCTCTATCGTACATATTTGGCTGTGTTGCAAGTGCATGTTAGACCTTTGTTTTACAAAGGTATCTTCTGTGAGATGAAGTTCCCTTTAGCGAACAGATGTTACTTTTGTACAACAGATGTCCTTTTTTTAACAGATATCTTTTACTTTCACAGATATCTGATTCCTTGTCTAACAAATGTTATTTTCTTTATAGAACAAATGTACTTTTTTGTTTTTACAGATATCATTTTCTTTGTACAACAGATAACTTTTTGACAGATGCTGTTTTCTTTGTTTAACTGTTGTAATCAATTGGTTTAACAGGTAGCATTTTCATCTGTTACAACAGATGTTTTTTTTCATTTGTTTAACAGATGCCGTTCTCTTTGACTAACAGGTCTCCATTTCTTTGTGTAACAGATGTCCTTTTCTTTGTTTAAAATGTCTTTTTTCTTACCTAGGTGTATTTTTAGATGCCCTCTGCATTGTCGAACAGACTACCTTTTCTTTGTCTACGTATATTCTTTTCTTGTCAAACAAGATGTACTGTTCTTTTTCTAACAGATGTCGTTTCTTTGTCTAACAGATGACTTTTCTTTCTCTAACAGATGTTTTTTCTTTCTCTAATAGATGTTATTTCTTTTGTTTTGTTTTGTTTGGTTTGTTTTACGGCATATCAACCTCAATGGGTTATTTAATGCCGACAAAATTTTTATTACTGGTAATATTTTGTTTTGTCAAAAATCTATTTTTGGTAATATTTTTCCTTCAAAAATATATAGCTGGTAATAATGTTTTTTTAAAAAATGTATTGCTAGTAATATTTATTTTTTAAAAACATTGTTGGTAATATTTTTTCAAAAAAGTATTTTGGTAATAGTTTTTTTTCTTCAAAAATTTATTGCTGCTAATACTTTTTTACAAAGTATTTCCGGTATTAAAACCTATTTTTACACTTTCATAGTGTTTTTACCCCAGTTTAGGAGTTAACTATTTGTCCCTAGCTGGGACCCTAAACGGTGCTACAACCCCGGGTCAGAGTGGACCAGGGAACGCCAGTAATTAAGAGGTGGTTCAACGCTCCTCAAAACTTTCTGATCAGAGGCATTTCTGCTGGACGTAGTTTATCGTCATACCCGGGACGCGTTATTTCTTTTCTAGAATATATGCCCTTTCTTATTTTTTCACAGATGCCCTTTTTTGTCTATAGATGTATTGGTTTAATAGTTGTCCACTTTACTTAAATGAACTTTTCTTTCTCATATACTATTTTCTTTGTTTAACAGATGTAACTCCTTTGAAATTAACTTTTCTTTGTTTGCCAGATGTGTTTTTTGTACAACAGATATGTTTTGTACAACTGATGTACTTTGTTTGTACAACGGATGTCTTTTACTTCAAAAGATAACCGCTTTGGACATCTCTAGTTTTCTTTTTTTCACAGATGTAAGCCTGCAGTTTTAATTGTTGCTTTTGTGGAATGTGCGAAACTGAAATCCGAAGGCGCATTGGGATAGACAAAGATGCCTTGCAAAAGCTAAGCAAAGTATTAAGAAACAGGAAAATTTCGTTAGAAAGAAAGAAAAGTGTACTGAACTGTTACGTGATACCTGCCATCTTATATGGCAGTGAATGCTGGACAATCTCCTCAAAGATGAAGAAAAGACTTGAAACAACAGAAATGTGGTTCTACAGAAAGATGCTGAGGATACCATGGCTCGAATATGTGATCAACGACGAAGTTCTCGAGAAAACGGAAACAAAAAGGAAAGTTATACATAACATCAGAAAGACAGTTCAATGGCCTATAATGAGGAGAGAGGGCTTGGAAAATCTGATACTCACAGGGCAGATTGAAGAAGAGAGACAGAGGAAAACAATGCGTAACTTCCTTAATGAGCTTGAGTAAATAGAGGCGGAAAGAGGTTTAGGAGAAATAACAAAAAGACAAAATTTATTAAGAGCTACAAAGGACAGGAAGTTGTGGAGAGCCATGATCACTAACATCCTGAAGGAGCATGGTACATAGAAGAAGAAGAAGAAGAAGAAGAAGAAGAAGATCATGTGTAAATGGGTGATGGTACAAGGTTTGGGAGAAATAACAAAAAGAGAAAAATTATTAAGAGCTACAAAGGACAAGAAATTGTGGAGAGCCATGATCAACAACATCCTGAAGGGACACGGCTCATAAAGAAGAAGAATTAAACAAAATTTTCATAGAAGTCAATAGCCAATTTTATTTTGGGGTTTTAAATATTTTGATTTATGACCCCCCCCCCCAATTATTGTTTAAACTCTGATATATTTAGGGGTGGGGAAGTATCAGTGGCTCCTCAAAGAGGATCAACCACATTACAAAAAGCTTTCAAACGACCGCGTTTGCTGTCGACAATTCATATTGTTTAACACGAAGCTACAGTCCAGGGGTTGGTCTTGATTTCTCTGTTCATATACGTTTTTATTTTTTTTCCTTTCTCTCTCTCCGCTGTCACCCCCTCTCACTCTTTCTTTCTTGTTTTCTTCCCCCTCTCATATTTTCTTTCATCCTTTTCTCTTTCAATCTTTTTACTCTTGGATATTTTCTCTTAGATTTGATTTCTATATTACTATTCCTATTCTTTCTTTTTATTCTTTCCTTCTTTCTTTTCACTCTCATTGTCACCTGCTCTACCACTCTCTTTCTTTCTTTCTTTCTTTCTTTCTCTCTCTTTGTTAACTCACATTTTTACTTTCTCTCTCACTCTCTTCGTCGTCTCTTTACACTTTGGTACTTTGTCTTTCTTTCCACATCTCTATTACTATGCTCCTTATATCTTACCCTCTTTCTTTTTTTCACTCTGTCACCTGTCTCTCTCAAACACATTCTCTTTACTCCAGTACATTCTTTCTTTCTTTCTTTCTTTCTTTCTTTCTTTCTTTTTCTGTCTTTCTTTCGTTTTACTTTCTTTCTTCCTTCCTTTCTTTTTTCTGTCTTTCTTTTTACTTTCCTTTTACTCTCGTTCTTTCTTTCTTTCTTTCTTTCTTTCTTTCTTTCTTTCTTTCTTTCTTTCTTTCTTTTTCTTGTCTTTCTTTCCTTTTAATTTCTTTCTTTTTTTCTGTCTTTCTTTCCTCTTTCTTTCTTTCTTTCTTTCTTTCTTTCCTTTTACTTTCTTTCTTTCTGTCTTTCTTTCTTTCTTTTTCATCATTAGCCACTACCTACCACAGCTTCATTTTCCCCTCTAGGCCCATTGATATCCACAAGTCATTCTCGGTTCTTCACGTTTCTACTTCTCCACAAATAAAACAACCCAGTTTTAGAAAATGGCGGTGTAATATTAATAAAAGAAATACTTCTTTGATCTCTTCGGCGCATTGAGTCTGGAAGCTGCTGGCAAAAAAGCTTCGAGATCAGAATAACTCGAGCGATGTTGGTATTTGAGGCCCTCGTCTTGTCTTCAGAACTGACGATGGAGAACCAAGTAGAGATGTGGACGAAGCTTAGTGAGCCTTAGGCAAACGCGTGTTATCGAGTGCTACGCAGCCAGCGATTTGTGCATTCGTTTCTGAGTAGGTACTCAAAGCCATCCGCTGCCCAGGAAGAGCTCAGTGGGTAGTGAGTGTGACAGGAATGTTAAGGTTCAATGTCAGTTCAGTCCTTTGTCACGCCCGCTTTGTCCGTGGGTGGCACCATCTGTCAGCGAGGTTTCTTATTTTTAGACAGCAGTAAAACATCAATCTATCACTTAAATAATAAAACAAATTTGAAAATTAATTCGTTATATATATATATATATATATATATATATATAAATATATAAATTATATATAAAAAATCAAATAATGTGGGTAATGGCCGACCACGACTTCCAGTTTCATACGCTTTCATGAGGCTGGTGACTGTAGTGTGCGAAAATAGGAACCCTTATACTCTCAGGTAAGTCCATGATGGTATATATATATATATATATATATATATATATATATATATATATATATATATATAAAAAAATGATAAGCCAGACCGGAGTCAGGCAAATGTGCGAAATTTTTAAAAGTGCTCAATGCATAATTAAAAAAATGTATTTTAAATCATATCCATTTCACGTTTGTTTCTATTGTATTTGTTTTCACCGATTATTTCCATGTGAACGTGCAGTGGGCCCTTACCAGGTTTCTGATGAACACAGACATGAACGAGAATGGAGGAGCAACTCGTAGTAGTCACTGGTGGAAAACTCTGTGAGGGAATCTCTGTATGTTTACGCTTGAATATGAGTTCAGATTGTGACCGCTGCAGCGAAGGCTTGAGAAGAAACTGTGGAGCCTTCCGTATACCATTTTCGTGTTGTTCACCAGGTTTGGGACGCCGTTGGCGAGGTCGACACCTGGCATCACTCCCGATTAGTTCATGCAATTGGATGTCGGATACATGTGTGACAATGTGTCTCCCCTGTGGGCTGGGGCGAAACGAATGGTGTTTCTCACGTAGTTAGCCTTGTGGAGAACGGTGGCAGGGAGCACATGCTTGAAGAGGATTGACGAAAACGAATAGTCTTTCTCATGATGATATTTTAAACATCGGCTTAAAGCGAAAATTAGATGTAATAGCAAGACCAGATTCAGTCTTTCGGCGAAGGAGGGGAAAAAGTAGCGTGAAAGGTGCCAGGATAGAGGTTTTGTTCGAGTAGCTCGAGAGATGGAGTTCATTTCGGAATCAACTCCATGTTAGGTTAGAAGTGGAATGAATGAAGCAATGGAATCCTACATTATGAAGAATTTTACACGGCCCATCTTTTTTTTTTTTTTTTTACTTAAGATATAAATTCCCAAGCAGACTAGCCCCGCCCTGAAAAACAGCTTTCTGAATCTCTCTGAATTTCAAAATCATTCTGAATTTCCCATTTATTTTGACCGCTTCTGCCTTAGAGCAAATCGCTTTTTCATGGCAAATAGAGAGGGGCAAGAAAAAATATCGATTAACCTTTAGAAAACTCGGTTTAGACGAGAAAGGGTGATTTTATATTAACTGCACTGCTTTTATTTGTATTTTGTTTTGCAGTATCCCACCATCCAATCTTCATCTAGGCGTCGCGATGTGGGGTGATGGTGAACGAGGCTAGTCTGGTTGACGACTACTATTGAGTTCGATTCTCAGTGTGTATTGCATGCAAAATACGACCATATATATAAAAAAAGGTTGAAATGTAATATCAACCAACCAATCAACAACTCATCACACACACACACACACACACACACACACACACACACACACAGACAGGTATATATCTATCTATCTATCTATCTATCTATCTATCTATCTATCTATATATTAAGGCATGTGTTATTAAAGACTACGGAACTTTTCCATTTAATAATCTTTTCTTCAGATTTTTCTTGCTTTCTAGCAAGTTTTTTTTTAATATTTGGGTCTAAGTGGTTGAAATAAGACCCCAACCCATGGTGTTTTGCCGAGCACTTCCGGTTATCGTCAACCGTCATCATGGCTGTATGTTTTGGTTTCAAATAGGTTGCTTATTATTTTAGTTTTATAGATAATATTTTGCGTTTTTAGACAGTGGGTTTCGATTGGTTCATTATTAATGAGTGGGGTGGTGTTTAATATTTGGAGGATTAGTTATTAAAAAGGTTTAAGTATTAAATGCTACTTTATTTATGTTGGGTTTTTGGTTTTTAATTGGGATGACTTCAAGAATATATAATCGCTTTTTGGAAGATTTTCAAGCAACGACAAATCTTTCATGCGAACAAAAACAGGCTATCATTATTGTTTTGTCCGTGTATTGTTTAATATATTGTAATTGTCATCTTTGATAATGGTTTATATAAGCCGAAAGCTTAGATAGGATTAAAAAATATGTATCAATATTGTGATTTTCTTTGTTCTTTTAATGATAATGTTATTAAGCTTATCAGACGATATGAAAAGAATTTACATAAAATAAATAAACAAAGGTTGTCTATATTATTTAAGTGAAACATGCATCAATGAAAAAAAATGCTGCCTAAATACAGACAATTTATATATATATATATATATATATATATATATATATATATATATATATATATATATAGTGTTTCCATAAAGTTCATGTGCACTTTAAAAAATTATAACTTTATTTGTATTTGCAATAGAAATCATTTGTAAAAAGGATTAGAAAGAAGTAAATCTATATTTTTAAAGGTTTTATTGAAATTTTATTTAAGTTTCCACATGTCCTCCATCATTAGCAATACAAAGGGTAATACGATTTTGCAGTTCACGGAAAACATTTGCCAAATGATTTACAGTATTGCCTGAAATCACATTAGTTATTTTAGCGATACTTAAAACTAGGTACATTAAACTTTATAACATTTTTACAGATTATTTCTATCGCAAATACAAATAAAGTTATAAATTTTTTAAAGTGTACACGAATTATGGACAACCTGTATATATATATATATATATATATATATATATATATATATATATATATATATAGTTGGACTGATACCCTGGGTTTCACGCTATTTGAGATCGTCAGACAAACTGATTAATTTTTAAATTTTGGATTTATATACGGTTGCATATGTCGGTGTTTTTATGGTAGTGGGAGAAAAATTGTCGTTGGAACGCCACTCTTACGTACGCAAACATACATACACGCACGTTCACTCATTAACGTACGTAGACATACATACACGCACTCTCACTCGTTGGAGCTCACACAAACATATACATATATGAATAGTGTGGGACTGGGCATATATGCGCATCCATATGTCGTTGCGTACATACGTATGCAATACCGTTTTTAAACTGTTAATTCGTTTTAGTTTCAGAAATCACAATATACATACATACATACCTATATATATATATATATATATATATATATATATATATATAGATAGATATATATATATATATAGATAGATAGATAGATTTAATTATATTTTTGTTTATCCGTTATTTTTAGATATAAATATTTAAGTAAATGGTCTATTTATAATAATCAGTATTAACAACATTTACCGGTGTGAACGTCACGGAACCGCCATATAGCCTGACGTGCAATGCTATTTAGCTACAGGGGAAGCGTCTGGTTAGCAAGGTTAAATTACTGTTTTTTGAACTAAAAACTTCCTATGATTTCCCTCGAACGCTCAGGTGCTTGTTGATCCAGATAACCTTCAAGGAATTTTGAACTGGATCTTTTATTTAATCTGTAAGGATAGATTGCTCTTGTTCCACTGACCATGTCTTGGGATATCTCACAGGACTAATACACGTGTGAACAAACTTGCTTAATGTAAGAGCTACATAATGTTAAAATCAGATGTTTGGAGACATGAACAATATTTACACACTTTTTTGTTACATCCAGCTTTTTCTTACTGCCAGCAAGCTGGACACTGCCCAAATTTACTAAGCATTTTTTGAGACAAGGCCACAATTATAGTGTACCCATGAGGATTGACTCCTTAGTATTTTCTGTAACTGACACAAGTATTTTTGATGGCAGCACTATGCTTGCTATAGGCTGTTTAATTCTCTCAACTATATAAGAGAGATGAATGAACGCGTTTGGTAGACATTGACTTGAGTAGGCCTGTCAAATTAAACTAAGCGTAGTAAAGAACTATATTTCATTTGAAATGAGTCTTGTTACTGTGTTTAGAGAAAAAAAATAGGTCTATTTTAAATTTGTGTTGATATTTTAAGTAAACGTTGCGATATCAAATCAGGCACGTTAATTTTACCCAGTAGCTTACTCCAGAAGACGAATAAATATTCTTATCAGACACGGAACTTAGTGGTGTTTATGAAGATCGTTTTTATTCCCTGAAATGTGGAGAAGGTTGGAAGAAACGGCAGCTGCTCACAACCGGATGTAGACCTTACAAGATGGCTTCCAAGAAGTAGCGAAAGATTTCGCTATAAAATATTGGAACGAAAGTCACAATGGAAGCAGAAATAAAAAAACAAATGCAAACAGAAAACGGAAAGCAAGATAAGAAACAAAAAAAAAAAAAAAGAAAAGAAAAGGAAATAAGCCGGGAAATAGGCAAAGTAAACAAAATGAATAAATAAAACGAATCCGTAAAGGAAAATTGGGAGCAGGAATAAATAAAATTGATACGCTTGTAAAAATACAGAACGGATTTATATATTTAGACCTAAAATACAAAATACATGTATTGAAACGGAAGGAAGCACACGAGAATTTCATATTTAGTTTTGTTTAGTGAATATTCTGGCTTTTCTTATCTCGAGGAAACAGAGTTGAGGGTGGAGTTTCTTTTCAAAGAGAAAAAAATGTTCTTCAACCACGAGAATGTCGTCATCATGGCGGAACTTTACCT